CCTGGGCAGGTCATTAAATCAGAAAGATAAACAGATGAACAAATAGATTTACAAACAAACAGCGAACCAGATCAAACGATTAAAACATGGATCATCATACTATCTCACAAATAAAGCACTATAATAATAATATATTATTTAAAAATCTTATATCTATCACATAATTAGAAAAATCATATTAACACAAACAGTATCAAGGTGACATACAGGACAACTTTCAGTTGTTGACAAATGACATCTAAAAGACGTCTGAAAACAGGGTATATACAAGAATACATTCCTGAACAAAAGTTCATAAACAATTTCTACATCTGATGACAATTGGCCTAAATAACGAGGCAAGAAAAATACTGGCCAATAACATTTTTTTTTGTTTCACCGATTCCTGTGGCTTGAAGTTTTGATTAGTTGGTGAACGAACTTGGTAGATTAATAATAAAATTAATCATAATTTCTATCTGGTGTAGCAATGTTCATGAGCTGATAAAGCTTGCAACCACTGCTGCAGGAATAAATTAAACAGACTTGATGTTCCTAACCCTACGCTTGGAATTTCATTGGTCCACACCCTTTAGTTACGACTTTAGATGTCATTTTACACAAACGTATCAAAATTACATATTCATAATTAAACGTAACACTAATTGGATTTAATAAAAAAAAATAAGCTTGAAATATTTATAATATATAATAGTCAAAAAATGTCAAAAACATATAAGCCAATCAGCACTCGCATAACAAGCAAACATATCAACACACAAACCAACCAATGATTAACCAATTCATAACTATAGGAAGTGAATGTGATACATAGACTAAAACATCCAGAACTTAATGTAGGCTTGATTTTATAGGACATTTTCTGATGATGCATTTCAGGTTCAGTTAATTCAAGTTGCAATTCACCTGTATCTGCATTAAACTCTTCTGGAAAATTTAAAATATTCACCAATACGTCCTAATAATAATGTAATCTCTATCAACAAGTCTTTACTTTTAGTCTATAGTATCAAGGCACGGAATGAAGAAGAGAGGTGGAGGATGAGTTGTTGATGTTCCACACTACCATAGAATTATCAACCAGTGCTTGTCAGCTGTAAATCCAATGTAATAACAGGATCGTGTTAATAACAAGATAAACAGAGCAACATTTATAGTTACATTGGGGATGTTCAAACTGGTCACCACTGGATGATGCTGCTTCACTGTACACGCCGCCACTGTACATGTCGCACACATTGATTTGATAATATGTAAGATTAAATTACATTTATTTTCATAGTTTAAGGTGAAAATGTCTTTTTATGGTTTGTACTTTCCCATCTAAAAGTCAACTTCACTATTTTCTTATTTACATAATTTTATGGTAGTCCAGATTATCTACAATAATTATTCTCCTTTTGTAGTGTTGTGAAATAGTTCTTAGATTCAATCTGGAAGAGCATGATGATAATGTATAGAATGATTAAATTAGGGAGAAAATACATGTATTGAGAGATAAAAAAAAAATCTCATCAATGTGGCAGAACATGAATATCTGTTCAATCTAGTAATAAATATTTTTTATATATTATATTTCTTCTATCTATCATAATAAGCATCATGATTGCAAAAAATATTAAAATAATTCAATTAACAATAAATTCATCTACAAAATGTGATTAGTACTAGCCACTCTCATCCAGACTTGTAATATTATCAGTAGTTATGCATGTGGGTAAAATATAGTTATCTTAATGTCCATTCCCGTAACAAGATAATATACCAGATGTCATCTATTATAATTAACCAAGACTACTTATATAATATACAAGTCTGGAAGAGTGTGACTAGACTAGATTAGTATTACTGCCAGCAGTTGATTGGTTATAAAGAGTGACATGGTTATGTTGTGTTGGCCCCGCCGTATCAATAATAATAAATCTGATTTGGATTAAATTACGCTAACAAGTATGTAAAAAATTTCTACACGATTACAATGGTATAGCAGATGACTAATTGGAAAAATAAAAATCATAGATGTGACATCAGAGATACAAAATGATGACATGTATTGATTTAGAGATTAGACAAAATCAGTTTTCGAGAATACTCGCCCTAAACCTGCCTGACAAAATTTGAATAAATAATTAATTACAGTCAGGTATACCATATAATTTTACACCCCCTATCTTTTCATAAACAAAAGTTTGTTTTTTTTCTTCTTAAAATCAAGAGAGATATATTTTCAGAAAAGATATTCAGATGTGACTGTTGTATCTGAGGAGTGTTAAAATATATGGCTGACAAATTTTAAAATTTTCAAGCTGTGGTTAACAGAGGTAATTGATGGTAATTATATGCACCCAAGTTTATGTCCATGCAAGGTAAATAAGGATATAAAAAATTGTTTCAATTTTCTGTCTTCTTGCTGGGGGCCATAAAACGTTTTATTACTCCACTTTGAAATTCACTTAATGAATTGTAGTGAGACTGTCCCTGTAGTACAATAGTCTCTCAAATATCACTCAAGAGAATGAACTATTGGTTCAAACACAGAAAGCACAGTTTAATAAATGCTTGCTAAATCCTCAGTTGTTTGAATTGGCAGTATTTTCAGTATAATTATTAATACATTTTTGTGTTAATATTTCAGTGCAAACCACAGGTGCAAGAAACTTAGACTAAACACAAGTTGAGCAAAAGAAGGTTTGATAGCCAGCCCACATACTGTGTAATAACATGTATATATAATGATGATTATATATATAATGTACAGATATCATTATATATTAAAGATAACAATAATATAATCAAGTTTATAAATACAGATATATTATATATAGCATAGTAATATCACAGTTCATATTCAATATCTTCAGGCTAAAGCAAATATTGCCAAGAATTTTGTTCAGAAATATATTGTAGATCTGATTTACTTCCTGAATTTTGTCAATATTAAAGCTGTGATGAGACAGAGAACTAACAAATCTTTTCCTTATTTAAATTTAATAAAACAAATTTTGACATTTAAAAGAAAATACCATCTTTGCCTTGATGTTAATCCACAGAAATCCTTTAGCAAACAAGATAACAGTGTGAAATAATGAGAAATAATGTGAACTTCAGAAGATCATAATTTATGTCAGCACTGTTTTATTTTCATAATTTTTGGACCATTATATATACTGAAAGTCTTTATTTACTATTCTGTCTGGAGTATTGGGGCCTTAAAGAGGAATTACATCAAAGTTTTTAAAATGCATCCATTTTTTGCTTAAAATTTGTTATAAACACGTTCAACAATTTTTGCTTTAGCCTAACAAAATATTTTTCATTCACTTTTATATTAATACAGACCATAGGCAGCATGATTTTAGATTGTATTAAATATTTAGATTGTATTAAATAATTAAGGGGTATATATTATATGTCTCTTTATTTTAACCTTTGGTACTTTTGAGAAAAATGAAAATCTGCATCATCTGTGTTTGATGTTTGTCATCGAGAGCAACATTTTAATGCTGTATACTAATTTTCTTAAGTAAATCAATATAATTCATAATGCAAAATAAATATTGACAAAGATACATAGAACACATGACAATAACAATGAATAACAGGAACACTACAGTCAGCAACATTAATTTATCTTTCATAAAAAAAAATTCATGAAATATAAATTCAATAATTATCTCTAATCGGCACTGATTCATGATCATGGCTTAAAAAATCACACACTGGCAAAACATTGTCTTAGTATGTAATCCAGCATCAGTTTGTTAACATGGTGACTCCGGTGATTTCAGAACCAAAATATTCACTTTATTACGTTTTGAGTAACAGTTTCCAGTGACTAAAACAGAAGTATAACACTTCAGTCTCAATATGAGAAAGAAATTGATGTTTGCACCCTTTACATCACATACATTAAGATCAAAATAGATTTGGCATCTGAAATCCACACTAGGTCCATTTAATGTAGCTAAAAGTGTGGCGGGTGATGTGGATGAGGCAGCGTATGATTACCCTTTTTAAAGCACGTTAGTTATATATAACTTCTCATGTATTCAACAGGTACATAAAACTCCATTTAATGCATCGCATAAGTGGGTTGTTTGCCTAAGGTAGGGAATGATTATCTTTTCTAGAGCACCTAGTACAACTTCTCATGTATTTGACAATTTTATATTCAATGTAGCTAATCATTTCTATTGTACCTTTGAATGCTGATATTACCATTTGAATAGACATTATACGAATGCTTTTGGTGATTTTTCAGAATTCTAGAAACTAAATTCTTCAAATCAATACATGTATATATTCCATTATTAAAGGAGCTAAGTCTGTAACTCAATATTTTCCGTAATATTCGAAATCAAAAACACGAATTAGAATTCAATATTGATCAATTTCAATTAATATTGATGTTATCTTGCCGCGAAACTATAGGATCCTAATATCCAATATTTAAGACACAATTAACACTTTATAATCTGTACACGAGTCGTGTACCCTTTGGTTTCGGGTTCCATTTTGTAATGAACAAATTTAAATATATCCTACAACACAATGTGGATGTAATGAGTAAAGGCTGATTCACAAACGACAAAATAATAATTTAAAAAATGTGCAGTAATACAGTAAGCAGGCGTAAATGACTTTCGTTCAATTTGAACTGTTCATGTATTTCACCAAACATAATTGATTGGAAATTACAATATTATTTTTAAAAATTGAATACAAATCACATTACATTAAACATACATTATGCAAGAGCTAAATCTGCCTATTGTAGGTCTGTTTCAATGGCATTTAGTAATTGAACTAGAGTATACAGGTCACAATTCTATGGAATACAATTACTGCTTTTTACTGAGCGACGTTTCGACTAGGCTTCTCTAGTCATTATCAAGCTATGATGAGCTTGATAATGACTAGAGAAGCCTAGTCGAAACGTCGCTCAGTAAAAAGCAGTAATTGTATTCCATAGAATTGTGACCTGTATATTGTAGGTCTTTCTTTAGGCCTGAAATTTTATATAAACTATTAATTAGACATTAATTAACGTATCCAGACCAAAATCAACTCTCGATGTCAAGGCTAGAATGCGATATTTGTTGGATTATGATTGATTCGCTGCATAACTTTCCTTCTCGAGTTAACAATTAAATGGATAATTGAGACTATGATTTTTGTTGTACCGACATTAGTAATGATGATCGAGTTTTTAACTATTATAGTAAGGACTGTCAACTTGTTATCCAATCTCCCATAATGTATCTTTAATATGTGCTTTTAGAACCATTTTTGTTTATTTCAAGGTTAAAAAAAATAGAGCCATACAGACTTTAATTTTAATTAGTAAAATTATATATTTCATTGGAAACTAAAACTGATCAGTTGGAATAGAGTTGAAAAACTATTTGAATTCAAATAAGTAAATACTGATCAAATTTCATTAGTTTAAATTGAATATTTGAATATTAATGTGAGCACTAGAGAAAAAGGTTTTGATTCAGAGATTTTGAGAGTCACTATGTTAACATGAGATGAATGGTTACCACGAACGTAAAAAAAATCCCACATGCTGAATATTAAATATGATTTACATGAATATGCTGTAAGAACGTGTACTGGAACATTGTACACGCAAAGAAGATGTCTCATATCTCATATTATTGTGCTGTAGTTCATGGAACAAATAACAGTCACCATTCTGAAAATAATTTAAGCAAGGAATTTGGTCACATGACTGATCGTTAGGGTTTTCGCTCCATCCAATCAGAATTGACGAGGAAATCGTGGTTAAGAAATGGACCAACTAGTCTTCGATGAAGTTGTTTTGATGTTATAAAATCGCATTTCTGTGGTACATCACAAAAACGATGGAAATTAAACAATAAGGGTCAAATATTATTTGTCAGAAACATCATTTCCACAAAATGCACACGACATACGACAAGGCAACGCAACGCAACAAAAACATCATTCAACATCTAAAAAAATTTAAAGTCACAGAATTATCTACTGACATTTCCTCATCACCTTGGTTACAGTATGTCGGTCATGTTTAATCCCCACTGCCGCAAATCCTTGAAAGAAAAAAATAACCATCTGACAGTTCATTATCATCGGCTATTTTTAACAAATGTCTCTAAAATTTCTTCCGCCATTTTCAAGTTGTTACGAGAAACGCGTAAAGCATCAAGCACATTTAATTTTTCAAATCCACGACCAACAAGAAGTTCAACATAATCGTCATTGATACTAGAAAGAGTATCGTTATTTTCTTTGTTTATGTCCTGATTTTCACGTAAACCAATATTTCTAGGAGGTGGTTGATCTGGTCTGAAATACAAATAAGTTCACTCTGATAAAAATTTAAGAAAATCTATGAAAAATCATTCCCATCAATCTGAGACAAGATCCCTGAGAAGGGCTAATCAAAGAAATTAGACATAAAGGGCTAATGAAGATGGATATGAACCACGCATGCACTATAAGAGAAATTTTACCCTGACAGCAGTGCTATGCCCCCCTCTTTTTTTGATGTCGAACATACAGCCAATGGCATTAACTGAACCTCATTTTACTTGGCTTTTATCAATGACCACAGTGAACAAGAGACTACATTGATCAATTGCGAAATTGTAATTATGTGGAATACTGTCACTGGGTTATCATACACTAATTAATAATTCTTCAGGCCTGGTTACAAGGACATACGTTATTATTAAAATAGCTATAGTAGACATTGGCTCAGGTAGCTGTGACAATAGTGAACAGTAGCGAAAGAGTTAAATCAATATCAACAAATTCTTCTAAGTATGTTTAAAAAAAATCTGACTACGGTAACTTCCATTATGAATTGAATTCTACCTGTATTATTGTTCACAAACTTTAAAAGAGTCAATACTTAATAATGGAAATAACTCGAGAGTTTATGAAAAGAACGATGTGGATTTGAAATTGCGGGATATGTGTACCAATGCAGAATAAAATAAAAATTTAAATAATATCTTACACTTTTGTTTCATCTTCTGCAGGAATTTCTTCATTTCTATTAAAACGTTGTGGTACAGCATACTCACTTGGGATTCGGAACATTGGTGGTTTTTCGTTTCCTGTTACGGAGAAAATAGTTCCTGTAAGTAAAGTGTTGGTGCTACGAGTAAGCGACAGACAGAAAGCGTGAAGTACATGCTAACAACTGATAATAAACAAACAAATAAACAAACAAACAAATTAACCTAGAGGAATAACTGTATAACATTCATATCCTTCTTCAAGGCATGTCAATTCTATGTTACTTCCCGGTCCAAGCTATACAAAAAAAATATTCTAGTTCTCAAGACAATCCTTATAAAAAATCTGAGGTTATAGGAGTATTTTTTTTTGTTGTTAAAGTATCATTACTGGGCTAAAAGACTTCTCACAAACATCACTTTTCAAGGCATTAAATTTAACTTATCATGTTGTTTATAAGAATGTATGACTATCCAGTATCATGTGATTGTCAATAACATTTAGAAGGGTTGTGTACTTGATAAATGAGCCACATTTTTTGATTCATTTAAAAAAAATAATCTTATACAGCTATGAAACATTTTTGTGCGGTAATTAATTAATTAATGAGATTGTTTTTATTTTTATGAAATAAAAAACGGATCACGCGTCTCTTTTTCAGTGATGAAGGATTATCTGTGAATCAGAATATTTTTTTCAGTCGGCCTAACTCTGTAAATGTAAAATAGCTGTCTTGCTCATTTATTCATATTTCTTCCATAACAGTCACAAAATTATACAACAAATAACCCTATTTATATCAGTTGAGTGATCGTCCATTTCCATGCAGTCACAATGGTCAAGTCGGAGAATATTTGTCACAGAAATATTAAAGATTCGTCTTAACTACGCTTTTATTATCAGAATTATGTTAAATATTACACATTTGTCTCAACCACGCTTTATTCTCAGTACTGGTACTTTCAGTATTATGTCTTTTGTATAGAAGTTGCCAATGATCTTTGACAAAGCCAAATAAAACTTGAACTGGCGGCAAACATGCAGCACATGCTAGTTGAATCGATCAAATAGTTAAATCCCTATAAACACGAAGTCAAAATTGTAAAAAGTTTCAACTGAGTGACAGATTAGGGACATGGCATATTGGCAACACACACTAATAATAACATTATTTAACATATATGTTGAGTGATTTAGTATAACCACTAATTTGATACAGACGTTATGACGTAATGTTGAAAGAGACTATAGTGAGTCTGCACGTGTGGTGGTCAGTTAGGGACAGTAGAGTTCTGGGTCTCATGAGAGTAGGTCGTCTGTCATTATGCTACGTTGATATGCTTACCTAGTTTTGTATATTTAGTTATTTCCTATAATACAAGTAGTATTATCCTGATCCTGACTTTATTATATTATATTGGGTCTATAATTATGAAGTATGAAATGGGGCCAGTCTGTCATGCCAAGCAACCAGCAGCACGCATTATATATGAATGCAACATGGTGTCAGAAGTAAACAGGTTTACCTTAAAGTTATGTTAGGACATTAAATTTGTTCATCAACTGAGAAGAGGATCGTAGCACAGTTGTGTTGGGACATCAACTATGTTCATAAAGCTGACAAAATACAATGGCGAAATTGAGACAACCAGAAAAGTTCCAGTTTGACAAGCCCAATGAATGGCCAGTTTGGAAGCAGTCATTTTGTCGTTATCGCAAAGGATGCAAATTACACGAAGAAGACGGAGATATTCAGGTCAGTGCTCTTATCTTCTGTATGGGTGAAACTGCTGAGAAAATTTTTAATATGTTCACATTCGACGAGGATGAAGACAAGGAAAATTATGATAAAGTTTTAAAGAAATTTGACAATTATTTTGTGCCGAAGAGAAACGTCATATTTGACAGAAGTGTTTTTAATACAATGACCCAAGAAGACGATGAAAGTGTAGAATTATTTATCAGGAGATTATATGAAGCCAGTGAACATTGTGATTTTGATGACGTTGACAGGAGAATTTTGGATAGACTTGTCGTTGGATTAAAGGATAAATCAGTGTCATTAAAACTACAAATTGAATCAAATACTTTAACTTTGGATAGAGCTATAGAAATCGCGCGAAATACAGAACTGGTGAAAACGCAAAATAAATTTGAAACGGAAGATTCTAGACTAGACATTAATTCGATGAGTAGACAAGGTCACAGAAATCGAGACAGTTTCAAACGCTATAGCCCTCAGAACGCGTCGTCACCATGGGTACCGCGTAAATACTTGTCTCCGCAAAAGACATCAAATCCACAACATCTCTTTAATAAAGGATACAATAATAAACAATGTTTATATAAATTTAACAGTAATCGTGTACAATATGAACATCAAAGGAATCGGTATAGACATAACAACTGTTCATCGTGTAATCGACGTCATAGTTATAATAATTGCCCAGCTTCACGTGAACATTGTAGAAAGTGTGGAAACTTAGGACATTTTGCTGTCAGATGTCATTCAAAAAGAATAAGTGAAGTTAATAGTTCTCATAATAAGCGGTATTATAATCAAGATAGAGAATTCGGACAAATGTGTCAAGAATTTGAAAATGCCTCAATTCAGAATGTATCTTTAGAACAGAAAGTAGTGCCTTCGAATAATTTGTGTCAAAATTCGTCCTCATTTCTTGGAAGTGTTTATAGTGACGTAAACAAATGTAATGATAAATCAGAACCACCGTGGCATGTGAGTTTGCCAATTTTTGGAAAGCTTATTGACTTTAAAATTGATTCAGGTGCGGATACCACAGTATTTTGTGAAGAAACATATAGTCAATTAAATCCGAAACCGAAATTAAAACCGTGTGAAATTGTTTTAAGTAGTCCAGGAGGAAAATTAATGTGTTTAGGATGCTTTAGCGTAAAAACTTTGTATAAAAATCAGTGGTATAGTTTTGATGTTTACGTAATTTATTAGGTCGTGCAACTGCTGTTAAAATGGGATTAATAAAACGAATCGAAACGGTGAATGATGAAGTTTTTGGACCAGTAGGATTATTAAATTGTCAACCCGTTCATATTACGTTAAAGGACGATGCTGTTCCTTATGCTGTTTACACGGCAAGACGAGTCGCGATACCGTTACAAGAGAAACCAAAGGACGAAATCAAGAGATTAGTTGAGAATGACATTATCGAATCTGTAACAGAACCATCAGATTGGTGTGCGCCCATAACACCTATTTTGAAACCTTCGGGTCAAGTGCGACTGTGCGTCGATTTAAGACAGTTAAATAAAGCTGTTAAACGTGAAAGATACGTCTTACCAACGTTTGAAGACATTTTACATAAGTTAGCAAATGCGCGTTACATAAGTCGGTTAGACGCTTCAGGTGGATTTAACCAGGTACCTCTTGACGAGGAGAGTCGGAAATTGACAACGTTTATAACATCATCGGGACGATATAGGTTTAAGAGACTACCGTTTGGTATTTCAAGCGCTCCCGAAATTTTTATGCGTATAATGCATCAGATTTCAGTGAATTTACAAGGAACCGCCACTTACATGGATGATATTTATATTTTTGGATCAAACCTCGAGGAACATGATAGAAATCTTCAAGCTGTGTTAATAAGGTTAAACGAAAGTGGTTTAAAACTCAATAGAGAAAAGTGTATATTTCGGAAAACGGACATTGATTTTCTGGGACATAAAATTACGCCGAATGGGGTAATTCCCCATCCTAATAAAGTATCTGCTATCAATAACATTGAAGTGCCGAAAAACGTTCCAGAATTGCGCCGTATTATCGGTATGATCAACTATTTAGGATGTTATATACCAAACCTTTCGAGTGTTATGCAACCGTTAAACGAGTTATTACACAAAGATGTTGCTTGGAGATGGGATAAAGCCCAAGACTTAGCTTTCAATAAAATTAAGGATATTTTAACTTCGAAACCTGTGCTAGCTGTATTTGACATTCATAAACCAACAATGGTTAGTGGGGACGCAAGTTCCTATGGATTAGGAGGCTGTATCATGCAAGAGCATGATGGTATTTGGAAACCCGTAGCATTTTGCTCACGAACTTTGACTGACGCAGAAAAACGTTACGCCCAAATCGAAAAGGAGTGCTTATCGCTAGTGTGGGCATGTGAAAAATTTGACAAATACCTTTGGGGATTAAATTCTTATCGACTAGTTACGGATCATAAACCTTTAATTCCTCTAATAAATAGGAAAGATATTGACCAAATTCCTATTCGCTGTCAAAGAATGATAATGCGCCTTATGCGTTACAATCCAATCGCCGATTAATCACCGGGAAAAACAATGCTTATCAGCGATACATTGTCAAGAAGTCCACAACGGGAAAATTTCATAAATGAACTTGAAAGTGACGTAAATATGTATATGAGCCCAATTGTGAGTTCATGGCCAGCTTCTGATAAACAGTTAAATAATTTTCGTCTAGCTACTTTAAAGGATGAAACGTCACAAGATGTTTTACGTTTTGTACGCGATGGTTGGCCACAATATAAACGCGATGTTAATCCGAGATTATATGATTATTATTCTGTTCGCGAGAGACTTACAGAAGTTAACGGATTATTAGTATACTGTAGTAGAATTGTCATTCCTGTGTCTATGCGTGAAGAGATGATAGAGCGAATTCATGCAGGACATCTAGGCATCAACAAGTGTCGAGAACGATTAAATATGAGCATTTGGTGGCCTAGAATTGTTAAAGATATTGATCATCGTGTTCAATCGTGTGAATTTTGTCAAAGTCAAAGACCGAATCAATATAAAGAACCTTTATTACCAACACCACTACCAGATCGTCCTTGGAAACATTTAGGCGCAGATTTATTGACTTTCAAGGGCAAGGAATATATGGTAATTGTGGATTATTTTTCGCGATACATTGAAATTGTTTATTTAAGTACTACCACAAGCCGAAATGTTATTTATAAATTTAAAGATAGTTTCGCGAGATTCGGAATACCAGAGTTACTAACTACTGACAACGGACCTCAGTTTGCGTCTAGGGAATTTTCTAATTTTTGTTGTGACTTTGGAATTAATCATGTCACAACAAGCCCTTACTTTGCGTCCGCGAATGGTGAAGCAGAGAGAGCTGTACAAACCGCGAAAAAGATATTAAATCAACCTGATCCAACATTAGCTTTAATGGTCTACAGATCAACCCCGTTACAAGTTACAGGTGTGAGTCCTACTCAATTACTGATGGGACGACAAATTCGTACAACTCTACCAACTTTACCAAGTACTTTAAAACCGAAATGGCCTAATTTTAAAAATGTGAGGAGAAGAGATGACAATAGAAAGTTTCAAACGCGTAGAAATTTTAATAGACATCACAACACACGCGAATTAGAAGAACTGAAACCGGGTGATAAAGTTATTTCCAAACTCGATGGAGAAAAGTTGGGTACACCCAGTGTTGTTATTAAGAAATGTATTCAACCTAGATCATACATAATTGAAAATAAGTTTGGTTTATATAGACGTAATCGTCGCCACTTACACATTGCTAACAAAGTACGATTTTCTGCTAATGCTTTTGATAAGCCTAATGATGTTGAAATTGATTTCAATTTGCCAAATGAAAACGATGATTATCGTCAGAATGTGAATCCACCGGATCCGCCTGATATTCAGGTCGTAATATTGTACCACCTGCACGATTCAAAGACTTTGTAAGATATTAAAAATTTAGATTAGTAAAGCAGTAAATTGGAATTTGAACAAAGTTTATTAGGTTATTAAGTAAATAGCATTAATATTTAGTTCATTATTATAATAGTAGGCCTACATCTATATTGTATTCAAACATGTCAAATTAGTGTCTTACAGTTTTAAGAAATTCAATTTTGAATGTTAATTATATAAAAGGGGGAGATGTTGAGTGATTTAGTATAACCACTAATTTGATACAGACGTTATGACGTAATGTTGAAAGAGACTATAGTGAGTCTGCACGTGTGGTGGTCAATTAGGGACAGTAGAGTTCTGGGTCTCATGAGAGTAGGTCGTCTGTCATTATGCTACGTTGATATGCTTACCTAGTTTTGTATATTTAGTTATTTCCTATAATACAAGTAGTATTATCCTGATCCTGACTTTGTTATATATATATTGGGTCTATAATTATGAAGTATGAAATGGGGCCAGTCTGTCATGCCAAGCAACCAGCAGCACGCATTATATATGAATGCAACAATATAGCACAACAGTTAGAAGCTTACAATTGTGTGCAATTTGCAGATCAGTCAAAATAAAGCCACTGATTGATTATCGAAGCTCAGACAAGCACTATTTACATGAAAAAAAAACCATGAAACTACACAAATTAAAATGAAAGCTGCAACAAAGTGTCATTCTAAAAGATGTAAGATACCGTAAGCCATGCATTAATATCACACAGTTACAACAAGACAAGCTGACAGAGTTATTCTAACCAATGAAGAAATTACAAAATATACATTGATATGTTTTAAATTATTATGCTTTACAAGCTGGGATTAAAACCACACCACTTGACTCAATGACAGATCTTATAATCTAAAGTGTACACTTTAGATCACTTGAACATCACAACCTTCCATGTGATTTAGAGAATAAAACAAAATAATTTTAATCTCTAATGATGCGAGGTGGGAGCTAATTTTCTCAAGTTTTCATTGCCAAACTCTTGTGTTATGCATTTCTAGATGTTGAAGTTACTATTAATAGTAGCCAATCAACAACTTAGTAACATCTTTTTTACTTTCACTTTTTGTACAAATGTTTGATGTGAGCCAATAAAATGCCATATAGACATCATGTGACTAACCTCCTTCTGTTCTTTGACTGGTGTTGATAACTGGATGAATGCCTGGTGTTGGTTTGTCGTAAATAAAATCATTACCGCCCACGCCACTACTACTGGTACTGGTGGAGGTGTTGGTGTTATTAGTCTTTGGCTGTTGTGTTGTAGAGTCGTATCGTAACTCGGCATATGAAACACCTATCATATATGTCAGTAAAACAAGGCTAGTATATATCACTCGAATTAATATTACAGAAACATTTCGATTCGTTTTATTCTTTGGTTGTTTGCAATGGAAATATCAGCCCAGAAATGATTTAATTCCTTTCAGTATTTACAATATGATGAATAGAAATTCTATCAATCGACGATGCTTCCTATCTACATGTAACTAAGACAACCGTAATCTTTATGTTTCACTTATGATCATGTAAAAACTTATTTAAGCTATAAAATGATTGAAAACTTTTAAGTCCAATATTAGTAGGCTACCAAATAAACATTTTTTTATTATTAATTATTGTTAAAGATTTGTAAATAGTGCTAATTCCACAAAGAGTGCTGAAAGGCGCTTTACAATAAATAAGCCAAGCAGTTGCTATGTAAGGCTACACAAAATAAATGTCTTGTTTCTCGGGCAACTGACAGCTGAAACTGTAGGGGGGGAGGGCGGTTTATTTTTTTTTTTATCTCATTTCTGGCTAGAGGATGGTGCAAAATAAAATTTACCTATTGTTGAAAATTGTTGGGGCGGGAGGGCGGCCTTGTATTTTTTTTTTTTTTTTAATAAGAATTACTTGTCTACGGTTTTGCTTTCAGTTATATATTATACATACTTAGAACATAAACCCAAAAATCAAGTCTACTCAAACACTGAACACTGACTGAAAGGAAAATAATTTTCCATATTTAATTCACGTAAATGTAGCTTACTAATGGTAATAGTGACAACCATAATTGAAATTGGTTTAAAATAAAATTCCGTACGACTATTAATAGCCGTCCATAATAACGACAATATTTTAAAGAGTAAGCCTCTGTCAGCATGTGTATCATCATCATCACGGTAAACGACACTTCGATCTAAATCTAGTATTGCTGGTTTATAATGATTGACCTAATTCCAACCAATGTCACGTGTCATCGGGATATGACTGTTTCTCAGGTTATTCGATGTGTTTCTCAGGATATTCGGTGTTCTATCTGGGGTTTATATCGAATGACTATTTAAATTTAACTAACAACTCGTCAGTAAAACCATCAAATGTGTAATCCAATTGTTATTTTCCGGATTATCAAAACTACCGTTAAATGTGCTAATGACCCAGATTCTGACTAAGGTATGGTGACTATCATCGTATCGTATTCGTAGCCACAAGTTATAATAATTAACCTGTTCTACGATTCATTGTTTTATAAGTAGGATTTTTTTAAACATGGACCGACTGAAGCCGGCAATAATGAGCCGATTAAGATCGAATGATTGAAATACATTGCGTTGTTGTCAATGACTTTCGGTGTTTAACACGATTCAAATTCCAGTTCACAAGGGGAGGTAATTATAATCACGTGATACAAAAATGGAGGTTCTTTCGATATCAATAAAAAAGACCCGTAAATGAGCGTTTACATCTGAATCAGTTTAATACATTTGAATGGATATTCACGTATGGGGCATGTAGATACATGCGGCATATTTTTTTTATGACTTGCTTATCGATGTTCGGGCGGGCGTTACATATTTTTTTTTTTTCATCAAGACTAATAAATAGGTCGCACGCGCAACCAATTTTGCGTGCGGGCGGTGCCCGAGAAACAACTTATTTTATTTGTGTTGCCTAAGATACACAACCATGACCTCTTTTAATATATATTTTTATAGCAGGGGTATTCCCTTGCGAATACAATGTTTTGAGAAGGATTTGAAGCAAAATTGGTTTGAATGTTTTTTGTCCAAATATAACATCAAATCACCCAGTTTTGTACGTGGGAATGTATCTTTAAGGGTTTTGCATTCTGGTAATGTATACACTCAGTGGAAGAGTTTTGTATTCTGGTAATTTGCACACTCAGTGGAGCTGTTTTGTATTCTGGCAATATATACCCTAAGTGAAGGGTTTTTGTACAGTTAATGTATACCTAGTGGATGGGTTTTGTATTCTGGTAAAGTGTACTCTTGTGGAACTGTTTTGTATTCTGTTAATGTATACCCTAGTGGAAGGGTTTTATATTCTGGTAATATATATACCATTCTGAAAGTGTTTTGTAATCTAGATATCAACACATAATAAGAGATCAAATATCAAACAATGTTTAATTATGATACAGTATACTGAATATGAGATGTAGGTATGGTATATCAACTGTGATATACGTCAGCTCAAAGGGATATAAATCTTTGACCTTTAGGTTTATTTTGGTTACATGAAGAAAATGTGGAAACAACCCTGTAGAGGCCCACATGTTAGTCTGAAAGATGACATTAAACTCCACTCCATTCTTTAGTATAAAAATATCATTTTCTCAATGTAACTAAAATACCATGCAATGTGCTGTGTAGAAATTTTGCTCATATGCTGTGCCACGGCTTACTCATCAACAGGCTCTCTGTTCTCCACCACTGACAAGGGGGAAACCCAGCTACGAGAAAGTAGCTTAAAACGTTGAGATATACTGATGGGTTTGTTTTAAGCTACGATTGGATGCCTTTAGTTTCACCCGGAAAACTTAATTTCTTTATTAATGCATGTCATATCTTAAACATAGGTTTATTTGATACTATTAGGACTAATTAAATACACCCTGCCCAATGTAGTGACATACTTTCGTTTATCTGCAAATATTGTCCGTCAAGTTAACCAAGTGGTGTTTTTAACAGAATTGGAACTACCACGCATAATTACCGTGCATTAGACATGTATGATCCATAAAGGTTTTCTACTTACGACTTTAAATTACCAAAGTAGCGTATTTTGATTGGCTGTTGTACAAAACATATATTAAGCCCCGCCATCATGACATTAAGTTGTAAAATCTACTTTAAAATGCCAGGCAAAGCCAGTTTTTAACCGATATAAAAGAGATGATTTTTGTCTGTGTCAGGTAGGATTATATGCTTAAATGTGTTAAATAACAATAATCAATGGTTGTTTTGAAGAAAAAAACTGACAGTTTTACATATTGAATTATGATGTGATTTGCAGGGGAGAGAGAGAGAGAGAGAGAGAGAGAGATGAGGTATCTTATCTTGGGAAAACCATGCTATAGAAAGCAAGTGTAACACTTTTATTCAAAATAAAACAAACCCTGATCTTTTTCAACTGGTGTATGCTGACTTCTAACTGGTGGTGTCGGTTTGTTAGAGTTATGGGCCCTGTCTTCAATAGGGGGTGTTGGCGGAAGCTGACGACGTCTGTAAAAATCAAAGCAAGAATAAAATTAAGGTAATGAGCAAGTTCAGCCCTAATAGAATTACAAGAAAAAATGGAATTTAAAGAAATACACCATTAAAGAGAGCAGTTCCATATTTTACAAGATATTTGCTGATTCCAATATGCAAATCAAAATGCCAAAATAAATAACTTAATTACTTAGTGGGAAAATTTCAGCTCAAAATATTGAGTCGTTTTTTTTTTTTTATCAGATCTAGAGTTACGTAATTCGAGTGACAAACTTATATACATTAGTATCCAGATAATACTGTAGCTATCAGTTTGAAAACTTAATAATATAATAAGATGTTATCCATATTTTTTCTGTTAAATTATCACAGATCCTCAGAGAGTTGAAGGGGATTACATTTATTGATCGAGGTGGGCCAGATCCTTTGATGAATCAATAGGAGAACAGACAGCTATGGTAGCTGATAGTGGCCATTTAAAATCTCACCCATTTCATCACGTGACAACACAACAAAGTAAACTTATACTATTGAGAGATTATTCTTGTAACATTGTGTTACTGCATTAGTCTCTTTCTACCAGACACAAAAATAAATAATGTCGCCAGCCAGCAGTACTGTATGTTTTCTTTATCATGTTTTTGTTCTAATATGGTCGAGATGTCAGGTTATCAAGAGACAAGATTTTATTTGACTTCTATCGGCCATCATAGAAAACACAACAGAAAAAAACCCCCAGATTACTGAAAATAGCAGACAATTTTATTTGACTTCTATCGGCCATCATAGAAAACACAACAGAAAAACCCCCAGATTACTGAAAATAGCAGACGATTCGTAGATTTTACATAATATGATAGAAAAGTTTAAATAGATCCCAAATAAGATAGTCAGCTTCACAGTCTCAAATAACATTCTTCGTCTTTAGCAAAACTGTTAGTAAGCAGAAGATTATATGTGTAGCTGTTAACTGATTTTCTTTCTTTTTCTTGTGTAACATCCAGAATCTTCAAACCACTGTTATGGATCAACCATAGTAGTGATCTCTATACTAAAGTTATAATTGGAATCTGTTTAATCATTTCAATCTATGTGTAAAATCTGTGGAAATTGACATTGTCCTTTAACTTCTACGAAAATGAATTCAGCTATACATATTTTCTGTATGTGAAAACTTACCCGACTGGTTTAGGGGATGATGCAGGCGAGGGGACAGGGGAGGAGGTACGTGGGGGGACAGGTGGCGGCAAGTCTCTTTTATTTGTATGTGGTGATTCAAATGGTGAACTTCTATCTCGAGACTGAAAAAAATTTTTTGGGATCGTCTTTAATTGTAATAAGGATGCCAAACAATTTACAATAAAAATCTTTGATCATCATCTGATGGGTTGTTGAACCCTTCAAAATTACAATATTACAACAATCCAAGCTAAACTTAACAAAAGCAAAAACGTTCTAAGACAGATTGCCATGATTGAACTCAGAGAAAATAGGTCTTATAATTTACAGCGGACATTCTACATTTTTTTGGATCGTCTTTAATTGTAATAAGGATGCCAAACAATTTACAATAAAAATCTTTGATCATCATCTGATGGGTTGTTGAACCCTTCAAAATTACAATATTACAACAATCCAAGCTAAACTTAACAAAAGCAAAAACGTTCTAAGACAGATTGCCATGATTGAACTCAGAGAAAATAGGTCTTGTAATTTACAGCGGACATTCTACATGTACCACTTGACCCTCCTAATCCCCTGAATTCACACATCGATCCACATATACAGAAATTGTAGTTTCTCCTAAATTGAGGAATGATTTATCCCTGACTACTTTCAAATCACAGCTCAAGATTCGCTTATTTTGTAAATACTACAAACTGTGTATATAATTATTTTTGAGCATGCTTTTTGTACATTTGGCTTTTTGCAATTGTACATTAATATGTGGGCTAGAAAAAAAAGTTAAATTTTACCCTATCTCTGGGACTAACAGCTAAAGCATGTAGATTGTTTGTATAGCCATCCTAGAATACAGAACAAACAAATTACTATAATACTACCTGTATTAAGGCAGTTAACATACCTCAGGCCTTAAAGACATACCAGAACCCTCATCCAACATGGGAAAGTCGCCAGCTTCTCTTATCAGTTTGATGCTTTTGGTTGATTTAGACTAGTATTAGTTTTAGCAGGGCCCGTCTTCATTACCCAGTCAGAGCAGAACAGTAGGATGTTTAACATCGTTTCATTTCAGCTCTAGTAGGGATGGACAACCCATGGCACACTAATGACTCCAGACTCGTTTTAAAAAAAGATTTGGGCGATTTTGGCAAGCCCTCTAAGAGCTTGCCTACCGCTACTCTAAATGATTGGTTAAAATTAAGTAGACCTACATGTACCTCTTCATCGTCATCATGAGCATGTCTGGATGATTTTGGGTGTGTCTGATCAAATGGATCCACGACAACCTGTTCTGTTCCTTTAATCTCACATCTACAAAATGGACACCCTTGTCCATCAGAATCCTACAAATAATAAAAAAAAAATTTACAAAGTGGACAAGGTATATTACCGTTAAAACCTTCACATTCGAAAATCTCCTCTATACCTTTTCTCCATTTACAATCAAATTATGATTACACGTAGCCTACATGTATATCTCCATATCATTATTTTTATGGTTATGATTTCTATACTTTGTAAGATGTAACATATGTTCAGAACAGATCCCATGATATTAATATCACCCTGGATACTGACCAGGAGAAACCAGACATTTTTTCTTTCCAGGTACTCCATCATAAAAAAAAGCATTGACAAGCAGAAACCAGACTGGAACTAGTTAGTGAGTCGGTGCCATATACTCACCGAGGAACTAGTTAGTGAACCAGCACCATATACTCACCGAGGACCTAGGTAGTGAGTTAATGCCATATACTCACTTAGGAACGAGTTAGTGAGTCAGTGTCATATACTCACTGAGAAACTTGTTAGTGAGTCAGTGCCATATACTCACTGAGAAACTGGTTAGTGAGTCAGTGCCATATACTCACCGAGGAACTAGTTAGTCAGTGACATATACTCATTGAGAAACTGGTTAGTGAGTCAGTGCCATATACTTACTGAGTAACTAGTTAGTGAGTCGGTGCCATATACTCACCGGGGAACTAGTTAGTGGGTCAGTGCCATATACTCACCGAGGAACTAGTTAGGCAGTGACATATACTCACTGAGAAACTGGTTAGTGAGTCAGCACCATATACTTACTGAGTAACTAGTTAGTGAGTCAGAGCCATATACTTACTAAGAAACTAGTTAGTGAGTCAGTGCCATATACTCACTAAGGAACTGGTTAGTGAGTCAGTGACATATACTCACTGGGGAACTAGTTAGTGTGTCATATCAGTGCCATATACCCACCGGGGAACTTGTTATTGAGTCAGTGCCATATACTCACAGAGGAACTAGTTAGTGAGTCTGTGCCATATACTCACAGAGGCTCCCTAATGTTTTCTAAATTAAAAAACTTACCTGCCACTGTGAAAGACAAGGTGTACACAGTAGATGACCACAGGGTTCAATACGAATATCTTTATCATTCTCTGCACAGATCTTACACAGTTGAAAGGTTGAGCCCATCTCACAATATAACTCATACTGTTCTTGTGTAACACGTATATGATCTTCTAAACTATCCTGTACTAAATAACTTAAATCAGGATTGGCACTTCGACCATCTGGATACAGAAAACTAGAATATAAGAAGAAGACTCGATCTTCAACATAACACGCCCATATACTAAAAAAAACCCTTATGTTAATTTTTTTAATTAGCAAGACATAACTACTATAACTATATAGTATGATAAATAAATCTACCTTCAGTTCAATTACAAAGTGTTCATTATTAATTGTTACTTACAATCCTTCTCTTTGTCCATCCAGTAAAGCTTGACACAGCGATTTATTCTGTGGTATTGTCTGTAATATTTGAGCATCTGATGTAACATAACCAATCGCCCACTGACCTAATCTTGTACAACTTAATCTGAACACATAACTGAAAAAAACAATGTCCGAGATAAGCTTTCAGAATTTTATTAAAGTCACTTGAGGGTTTTTGAATCCCTTGCAAAATAACAATACTGTGGAAGTTGAATTTCTAGATTAGAAGTCAGGCACACGTTTGTTTTTTTATATCTAAATTATAAATTATTATTTTTTGATCTGTTTTATATCTTTTTAATATTAGTTGATAAATATCAACATAAGTAAATATTTTATACAGGACTAAAATAAACAAGTGGTTGCCATGCAACATACGCATACATTTTGCAAGAGATGGCCAGAGTACAAGATAACCATGGATAGAGAACCAGCTAAAAAGAAAGTGATTTTTCCTACAATCAGGGGCCATAATTCAGGAAGTTACGGTCCGATATGCGCGAATATCGAAAGGAACCAAGATCTTTGGGTTATAAACTTACATTTCAAGTTTCAACAACATCAGATAAAAATTGTGACCTCTATAGGGTCCACAACCTTGATATATCATATTTTTACGCTATTTGAGAACGAACAGCGGCCATTTTGTCTGTCAGTTTTGGGCCGATTTTCACGAAATTCGAACTCAACCGTCCTTAGTGTGTAACGGTGATATAATAATATAGGGTCCACAAGCTAAAAACACGATTTTTCGTACAATCAGGGGTCATAATCAGGAAGTTACGTTCCGATATGCGCGAATATCGAAAGGAACCGAGATCTTTGGGTTATAAGCATACATTTCAAGTTTAAACCGAATCGGTTAAAAATTGTGACCTCTACAGTGTTCACAAACTAAAAACGTGATTTTTCGTACAATCAGGGGCCATAATCCATGAAGTTACAGTCAGATACATGCCAATATCGAAAGGAACCGAGATCTTAGGGTGATAAACCTATATTTCAAGTTTCATTGAAGTCGGATAAAAATTGTGACCTGTAGACTGTTCACAAACAATTGTGGACGGACGGACAGGGGCGACGACAATATACGCCCACATGAAAATGTGGGCGTATAAAAAGAAACGAAACATAGATTTGGGTTTTAATTAGATTGATGTAATTACATATTCTATATTAGAAAATATAGAGTACCGGTAACAGATACGCCATGTAATATAATATCTAATAATAATATAAAAATAGGCCATCGAAAGTATTAAAAAATACGAAACAAAACATAGGATTGGGTTTTAATCAGATTGATGTAATTACATATTCTATATTAGAAAATATAGAGTACCGGTACATGTAACAGATACTTCATGTAATTTAATATCTAATAATGATAATATAAAAATAGTTATAATGCACCTTAATCCACATGACTAAGGGATGGGTTCAATCTCATGCCACCCAAACAGATTTTTGTGTAAATACATACACCATCTGCCTGGTTAACATTTGGACAGACTGCGATACAGGGATGAAGTGTTTTAATTTTTTACTTTTCTCCGTTTTCTGCACCAAACCGGCTAATGGATCATACTACTCATATGCAACATTTGGCAAATTACATACAACACAATATATTGGGAAAACTCAAACACAGTCCTTATATTTACCAAAAAGTCACTTGAAACATTTACGTATTTGATATAGCATGTTATTTTCGTTAAATATGTCAATTTATGTCATAAATATTGTTGATCTGGTGGCACGAATCAGTTCACAGTAAACATGGAAATGACATCAAAATGAGTCTGAAGTCACAATTATAACCTCTACCTTCTATGTCTTCAATGTCATTGACTTTACCAGACCAATCTGATTGTAATGTAAATATTTATTATTGTAACCAGGAGTTAGTTTAAACCAGTAAAATGGCATCAGTTATGTCAAGTGTTTAATATAATGATGACATACATACCATCAACAGGAATAAGGATTTCCCTTTTATCGGCTAAAGTAAGTCGTAAGCTGTTAGTGTGTTCAATTTGTGTATCAGAGCTACCATAAGTCCCTGTTCCTGAAGCAATGACTGCGAGCTTTACAACATCTAGCTGTTGCTAGATTAGTCTTAATTTCCCAAACTTTTAGGTACATTATCTCCCTTTACCACAGACACGTGATACAATCACATAAAGGGATAGATGGGTTTACAGCCATTGAAAGCCGAGTTTCATGTGGAACCTTGACATTGAACAAACCTAGAAATTTCAGTTGGATAGTACAAGACTTTTTATTCATTTTTATTTCTATCAAGGAATCTGAGAGGTCACGAAATTAGTGACGAAAAATGCAGGGTAGTACATGAAGGTCTTAAAGCGAGATCAAGCCTTCCATTGAAGATTCCATAAGTTATAACTAATTAGTATCAATAAAATTAGAAATCTTTTTTTCAATATTCTGAATGGGTTAAACAAGCAAAGTTTTAATGTGTTGTTATAAGTTATAAACAAATTAGTTTCAATAAAACTGGAAATTAAAATTTTAATATCAATAATTTTGAGGGGGTTGATCATGAGTAGGCCAGAGCCTTTCATAGGTTGTTGCAAGTATAGTTGACAGTTTACACCAAAATTAAAATTAGCTCAGATATCAATTTTTGAAATAGAAATTTTAACCAGTTTGTCTGATCATTAATCGATATAAGATATAAAATGAACTTAATTTAATACTTCCTGTCGACAGAACTCAAAGCCGTTTAGCTCCTTTACAACATTTTAAAGGCTAAAGTTACTACATATGAGGAAATTTCGAGATACAGGAAATGAGGGTCAGTTTTCCACCCTATTGACAATAAAAAAAATCTAGTTAATTCATCAAGATTAAAAATTGTGAATTTCTTAATATTGGTACCTGTAAATATTAATATTACACAACCAAATAACCTGGCTTTAAGCTATTATGATTTTTGTTATACAGCGATAGGGGTTGACTAATGGAAAAAGCCTAATGTGTATGCTTTAGATTAAAAGGTCTGGCATTGAGTAAAAGTGGTCCCAAAAATAAAAGTCTGAGTACGTATGAAATTTAAGTGCCAAAATATAGAGGAATGGTGTATTTTACCTTGCCTCAAAATTTCAGCTCAAAATATTAAGTCGCTTGGACGTGAACCTCAAGACAGCTTATCTGGACACGTAACCTTTCTAAGATTTCGGGTCAATTTTTTTTATTGGGTAACCTGATAATCGATTCCCGTTCCTTTAGAGGTCTATACAGTGAATGGCCCATGTGCTGTACTTGATAATTAAAGGTAAATTTCACCTACACATTATTTTTATAAAATAAAAGTCTGGTTTTATGCAGACACAGCATAATACACCAGTCTCCATTTCCAGATGAAGACTGACAGGTTTAAGTTGTTTTAAAACGTATCACATATATTGAGTTAGTTGCTCGGCCCTAAGGGAGAAGATTTTAAGGAATTTTAACACAAAATTAAGTAGTTTTATTCTCCAAAATATTATCGGGATTGGCCCGTTAAAAAGATTCATAAAAAGACAGGCAAAATTAACTGAAATTGAAATAACATCCACTGGAAAATGACCAAATTTGAATGAACCATGGGGCAATGTTACTGTGCAAGTGCTGTATACTGTGCATTACTTATAGACAGTTTTCCAGCTACAAGTTGATTGCTAGATCACGAAGCTTGCCGCTAATCCCATCTTGGTATTTCTTTTTAAATGTATTATATCTGCTTGAAGATCAAAAACAAAAGGGTTCTAATAGATGTCTGATTAGTCAGTTTTATTCATGGAAATATATCTCAGATGTCTCTAGTATAAGAGTTTACATGTAGTAATAGTTTACATTTCTACCTAGTGACCTATATAGACTTTATAGTATACCACATCACACCACTACACAATCTAATGACAGGAAACAAATAATTGACATCACATGACCTTTCCCTGTATCACCATTCCCTTCTCACTCAATCATTCCGTTATTATATCCAATTATCCACCACTAGTATTATTATTACTATTATACTTTAAACAGACACTGTTCTGTAACACTTTAAGTGATCAAAGTGTCAACTTAATTAAGTTCATATGCATTGGCCATAATGTATGCCTACATTTATAAAAACAAAGGAACTGTAACCACATTTCAACACTTGTGTCAAATCCAATACCCCCCCCCCCCCCACATGGTGGGCGGGTTGAACATAGAAAATGATAAATTAAACATCTGTTATTTAATGTTGAATCATGAACAGAAATATGTCAACCATTTTCTTACCCCGTTGGAGTGGATGGGTGTCTTTTCGTGGGTTATTTGTTTACAAGCAAGTGTTGAAATTTTGCAGCGATCCATTATAGCTAATATGTAAGATAGGTTGTCAGGCAACGAAACATACGGCCACAGGAGCTAAATTGTCCGGGCAGTCAACAAGAATTGTCGCATATTTTTACTTTTTTTGGTAATGAAACATTTATAATAGACTAAAATCTGATTAAGAGTAACAACTCATTCAGTAATTATCAGAAAATCATTAGAATTTGTTTGGTTTTTATAAAGTTCTGCCCCATGCTAACGTTTAGTATACGAAATATTTAATATCTTGGATTTAGCTGTTCAAGTTATTAAAATTCATTGAAAATCAATATACTTGTTCGTCTCAAGACCTTAAACTCTGTTTATCAATCTGAAGTCAATCAGATGATAACTTTAGCCTCTAGACCATCCACAAGATATTTTGAAGTGATCAAGGGACATAACTCTAGCAGTAATTATGGGAAACTGCTGAAAATCAATAGGCTTCTTCGTCTCATGACCGTAAACACTGTGTATAAATTTAACGTCAATCGGATATTATCTTTGGCCTCTAGAGTGTCCACAATATTTTTTGAAGTGATCAAGGTCCATAACTCTGGCAGTAATTATCAGAAATCATTGAAAATCAATAGGCTTCTTCGTCGCATGACCTTAAACACTGTGTATAAATTTAAAGTTGGCCTCTAAAGCGTCCACAGGAAATTTTGAAGTGATCAAAGGCCATAACTCTGGCAGTAATAATCGGAAATTGCTGAAAATCAATAGGTTTTTTCGTCTCATGACCGTAAACACTGTGTATAAATTTAACGTCAATCGGATATTAACTTTGGCCTCTAGAGAGTGTCCACAATATTTTTTGAAGTGATCAAGGGCCATAACTCTGGCAGTAATTATCAGAAATCATTGAAAATCAATAGAATTCTTCGTCCCATGACCTTAAACTGTGTGTAAATTTAACGTCAATTGGATAATAACTTTGGCCTCTAGAGCGTCCACAATATTTTTTGAAGTGATCAAGGGCCATAACTCTGGCAGTAATTATCAGAAATCCCTGAAAATCAATAGGCTTCTTCGTCTCATGACCTTAAACACTGTGTGTAAATTTACACTCAATCGGATATTAACTTTAGCTTCTAGAATGTCCACTAGATTTTTTAAAGTTATCAAGGGCCATAACTCTGGCAGTAATTATCGGAAATCGCTGAAAATCAATAGGCTTCTTCGTCTTATGACTTTAAACACTGTGTATAAATCTAAAGTCAATCGGATATAAACTTTAGCCTCTAGAGTGTCCACAAGCAATTGTGGACGCCGGACCGACGGACGGGGGCGATGACAATATATGACCACATTTCAATGTGGGCGTATAAAAAATGAGTGTGTTTCAATAACAACAATTCAAGCCAAAGATCAGTTTCTAGGCAACAAAACACAAACCTCCAGCAGCTAATTAAGTTACCATAGTAGTCCACAAAAGTAGTTGCAATATGACAAGATTCTATGACATGATCAAAGGATCAGAAACTGTTGAAATTCAACTCAATTCTTTGTTTCACTAGTCTGGACAATGTTGACGGATCGTTCATACATTTTAAGATTCCACAATATGAGCAAGGGCAATAACTCTATAAGTACGTAATGGAAATGGCAGAAAAAACGACAGGATTTCACGATTCTGAATAGTATATATAATTTAAAGCAGATTGGATGATACATGTAACTTGTCTTGCTAGGTCGTTCACATGTAGTCTATAGAGCGTTCACAAGCAATTATTGATGACAGATTGACAGACAGAGGCGACCACGTGGGCATTTAATCAACGTGAAATTAATATAAGTAAGCAGACTGAATTCCACTTGAATATCTCAAAATGAAAATGTAATGGTCTAGATCTTGTCCCTTTATAACAGGAAATAACACATCACATGAACTGAATTCAACACTTTATTATGTAAATCAAAGAGGTTTAGATCCTTTAATATGATACAATCTCTTTTGGGTCAAAATATAAGTGTTTAAGTTCGAAAGTTGAAATGTAAAGAGGCAATAATAATAATGTAAAGTAAGTGAGAATAATATGTAGTCATCAATCAGCCTTATATCATGCTGATTTTTGAATATGCATTTAAATTTAGAAATTGTAATGGTTTAAGTTCTGGTATTTGTAACATTTTCGAATATTGTCCATTGTTTATCTGTAAATAATCTTACTTTGGGTAGGGGGGTTGGATGGCTGAATGGTTAGCATGTGTGTGCTGTATCATAAGGTCTGTCATTGAGTCAACTGGTGTAGTTTCGATTACCCCGTTGTACGTGACAAGAGTAGGGTCACACCGTCACCTGTCCAACCTTGTGGGTTTTCTCTGGGTCCTTCGGTTTCCTCCCACTGCTAAAAATCCCTACGCGCAAGCAAATTATAGAAATAAAATTGAACCATGTGTTAATCCCGAAATGACCTAGTTTGTGTCAAGTGGAAGTTAAACCCCATTTTTCTCTCTCTCTAGGTAAACAGACATTATTCTGGTAGCCAATGCCAGCCAATTTAAGAACAAGAGTTTTCAAAAGTTCTATTTATTTGGGAAATATGCAGGTTTGTCAAGGTTTATTATGTATGTAGATATTAATACACCATGTTTTAACACCAAGTAAAATTCCTACTGAACAAAAACGTAATCATTATTAACTTAAAAAAAAAAAAAAATCAGATTAAAAACTCATCTAATATTTTATTTTGATCTAAATTAAACCCTGTCGATTTGTTTATTTATCCAATTTATTTATAGTTTTACCCTCACTTACACATAATTATTTTTTGAAGGGTGATTTTTTCATCTTACAGGAGCAATGTACGTCAAGACCTAAACAATTTACCTACATGTATGGATATGTGTCATGTGATTGGTCTTTGATAATTGAGAATTACAGGTTATTTACTGAAGCGACAGGTATGAAGAAAAGCTACCTGTCGCAAGCAACGGGTAGCTTTTTTTTAAACATTTCGAGGCCTGCGTGTGCATGTGTGTGTGTGTGGAACTTTATATGTAAATTTAATATGTATACAAATACAATGTATAATATGACTTAAAGAAATAAAGATGTGAATGTTTAAATTAGAGAAGTTTCAATAGGGTTTGTTGTCAGTTAAAAATTCAAAATTGGAGACTATCAGATTTACATTATATTGCAATAAATGAAAGTTCAAAGGAAAATAGGCTGTTCATGTTACAAACTTTAATAATCGTGATCATTTTCCATGGTAATAATTACACTTTCTGATTTGTATTTTTATGCTTTAAATTTCATTTCAGAACAAAATTCTAACATGGCAAAATTTTACTCTAGAAAAGTTGAATCTGTTTTTGTGCCCATTTGATGGACAACCCCCAGCACTGACCCTCCAGAATGGTGGTATTGTTTTGGACACAAGTTGCTAAAAGACCTGATTTCCTTCCCAACCTGCCCGATCTCCAGCCCAACCAACTGGATCTCCTCCCCAACTGGCCTGACATTCCTACCCAAACGACCCGATCTCCAACCAGACTGTTGTGATAATATATGACACCATTGTATTTTTCTGTCTACATGGTAACTGTCCTGTCCTAATGAGATTTTATCCTGAAACAAATGACTGACAGATACGATCATATTTCATATTAAAAATATCAATATCCATACCTTCCGGGTTTACTTATGTATTTCTGAAGCCTTGCTTTCACTTCATCGTAGGTGAGGAATGCTACATAGCCTGGGTGGGTTACGGCCAAGACATTCCAATTACGGAGCAAGTTGTTCCAGGGTTGAAATAACCTGTAATTATCAAAAAAGATATAAATATGGGGATGCAGAGATGGAGCACCAGTAGTGAGAGGGTTAGTGTCAGCCCTATAATGATTCAGAATAGTATAAATAGAGTCTAATCAGTCTGAAGAATTCAAAACGAACGGAACTAGTTGCTGATAAAAAGGGATAACTGGTCACATAGTCCATTTTATCTCCAACAAGCACTAAATATTAAAGATGCATTACATACTATGTAAGATTTAGATAAACTGCTGGTCGTTCTTGAAAAATAGATAATGAGAAAGGAATATATTGAAAATTTAAGTAAAATTCTTAAAATTCTTCATTCTGAGCAAAATTGTGAATGCTTCATTACTGCCGTCGATAAAATAACAAAGTATCGATTATCTGTTTTTTAATTAAATGGCATTGATGCTTCAATCCGTTCAAAATCACAACCATCCGATATCTAGAGACTCTAATTAATAATAAAATAACATTTGACTCTTTTAGGCCAGAAGAAAGATCTACAATAGGCAGATTTAGCTCTTACACAATGCATCTTTCATATCATAATGATAATCTATTTTTATGTTTTAAACAATGTGTTATTTTTCAGTATTTTCTGACTATATACTGGGATTGTAAAACGTCTGTTCTATCATGATGATGAATGATAACCTCCCGGAAATGAAAAATGAAACTCAACTGGTGACCTATATCTTACAAAGAGATGTGTGGTTTGATTATATTAAAATGCAATGTTCATATCTTGGAGGTGGAGTCCTATCAAAATTAGCTGTCACATTGAATGCTACATGTTAAGTTCACTTTTTGAATATTTAAATGCTATTCAAATACATGTTAAGTCATTAAATCAAATGTTATTTGAATATTTCTTCTTTGATTGGCATTTAGTAATTGAACATATTAACACAAGGTACAATTTTATGGGTACACAATTACTGAGTTTAATATCAAGCAAATACGACAGTATCCTCGTCGAAACGTCGCTTAGTATTAAACTCAGTAATTGTGTATCCATAAAATTGTACCTTGTGTTATTTGAATTTTGTATTCAAATTAAATGATCAATTTATACTAGAATGCTTTTGGTGCATTTCAGATTTCTAGAAAGTTGAATAAACACTGATGTAAACATGTGGGATTAAATACGCAATTGCATAGATGACAGACATATGTAAAGTATGATCAGAAGCTAAGGGAATTTTTTTTCAGTAAATGAAAAGTATACAACGTACCGTGTAAAAACATCAAATTCAAAAACTGAAATATGATCATTACATGTTAAATCTAAGGTCGTTTTTAACGCCATGGCCTCTAAAGGTGAACCAATTGGATGAGATTCATGTAATGTATCACGGAATTCTTTCCATGGAACTGTGATCCTGAAAGTAAAAATATTAATATGCTACACTGTACATGTATATCAGATGGATAAAATGAAAAATGTTCCAAATTCAAACTGGGGCCTATTTCACGAAATTTTAACTAAGATAAAACCAAATTTTAGTAATTTGATTGGATAATATTAGATTGATTTTAGTGCTTAGCCAATCAAAATTAAAGTATCTACTAAAATTTGGATTTTATCTTTAGTTAAGATTTCGAGAAACAGGCCCCAGGTATATAAATGGTGTTTTATGGCATGTCAGCACCACCCTGACTACACGTATACTGCACACAACAAATGGTGATAATACACTTAAAATGTTCATGTTACCAAGCTCTAGTGCAGCAGTAAGGGTATGCTTTAACCCTTAAATTGGTCCCAATATCAAGCCCGTATGGTTGGCAGGTTATAGTAATACTGTTTCCAAAACATTGTATACCACTTCCTAGGATTTAAATTTAAAAATTCCCCTTTTCAAATTTTGAAGTAGTGAATAATTATAGTGTAAAATCATTTATGAAAATGTCTTTTTACTCTTGTTTACATAAATATTATATTACAAATTCATGTAGGCCTACACCAGAAATTAAATTTGTGCAATTAATGATTTATGCAGACATTTATTTTAATGTGACTGATGAAACAGTGTACTAACAATACAATAAAAATAATAATTCTATATGGAAATTTCCTTTATGTCTTGAATTCCAATTAAAGCAGGGCTACACTGCAACATTAATACTACCTGTATTCAAATTAATACATTAAACGATAGGGCAGACAAAATGGTGCATAAACGATTCAAATATCAAACGGAAATATTACTATCTGTACTACACACAGGGACATAAAACTGTTGATATGATGGATCTGTTGGAATAGTTTAGTTGCCGTTAAATTCTAATGAACATTGAATTGATCAGAGTGCAATAAGTTGGGCATTATCAGAAATTGTCTTTTTAAAAAAACATTAGTGCATGATCAGTAGGCAAGAACCTTTCAACTTAAATTGAGTACAGAGAGCCATTGTAGCTTGATGAATATGATGTTGGCTCACCACCCAGGAGGTCCAAGATTCGATCTGGTGTTTGTCAAGAAAGTTCTAGTCTGCAGAATGGATGGCGGACCTGTGTATACATTACATTTACAGTAGCAGTACCTGCACTGACAGGATGTTTTAAAGATCCCCTCACAACAATGTTTTAATTCTCTGTTGTTACATGTACATGTATTTACTTGTCAGACAAATTACTATTTTTTTGTAAAAATAAGGATATCTGGGCTTTATCAATATGCTTTTGTAACATGCCCTGAATTAAGCCACCTGCCACTGCCAATTTGTTCAACACAGATCTGTCATATTGCTTTTAATAATCTATTTAATACATGTACATGTACAGTGTATTGTTGAAAATCAATAGCTTCTAGAGTGCTTTAAAGATTTCAAAACAAAGGGAGGAAAACTCAGGTACAGATGATTGGGTATGGTCTTTGTCTCTATATTCCTGGGATGTGGCATATTCAAACCTATTTGCCGGTTAATAAAAAATAATTTTCAATTTGATTAAAACAAATGTTTTGATTAGATTGTATGACAAATCTTGGATTGATCCAGTGCTGATTGATAAATAAATTTTAATTTATTACGAATATACATTACAGCATATAGATTTTAAGTTCATTACAAATATACCTTACAGCCTATAGTGGTTTTCTAAAGTTAAGTACATTTAGATAGATTTTAAGTTCATTACAAATATACATTACAGCCTATAGTGGTTTTCTAAAGTTAAGTACATGTAGATGCTCAGATAGAATCCCTTAATCTTAGTACCTGTATATGCACATGTAGGTAATGACTAATGGCTTCAGGGCTATACTATATACTGGAAAAGACCGGAAAACACCATGTTAAACTGAATACCGGAAAACACCGGAAAAACACTAAATACCGGAAAACACACTAAATACCGGAAACCACCCTAAATAGGTAACCTGGAGAAGGGCTATACTATAAACCGGAAACTAACTCACGCCAATAGAAAAGACCAAGAGCGACTTTGAAACTACAGAAGAAATTAAAACATTTAGGCTAACAAGAGAAAAGTTCTGGATTGACAAATTGAAAACAACAGCCCCCCTAGGTTTGAATATTCATACGGCTAGCGCAACAGCCCCTTTTGTAGTTCCATTTAGCGCAACAACAGCAAGTGCATCCAAAACCATCAGAAAACACTATACTGATCTCCAAGAAAATCACCCGAAAATATTCACACAGAAACTTATAATTGCATATTCTAAAAATAAAAATCTGAATGACATCCTAGTGCACAGTAAATTAGATTAAATAAGACCAGTCTCCACCCTAACCCAAAACAAACCATATATCAAATCCTATCCCTAACCGTTAGTAAATAAAATCAACTAGATATAAGAATCCCTAGCCTTAACCCGGTGATGTGGAACAAACACGATTTTTTAGAAAATCCAATCCGTAGTAGGAAACACACTAATGTGGCTCTCTCCCGAGAGACTTAACCTCTCCCCCAAATTCTTAAACCTAACCCTAACCCAGGCACACAGAGGACCAGGCTCCCGGTTACCTTTTTAGGGTGCCAGTCTCCGGGTTACCCGGTTGTTTTCCAGTATATAGTATTGCCGATGACTTCACAGTGATTCAAGTAAACAAATAAAATTGTGTAGCTGCTGTTTTTCATATCAATAAACAAATGTTTAGCAAATTAAGATACATGACATGTACTGCAATGGACCATTACAAATCATACTGAAGAGCAACATTCAAACACAGAGATTTTGAACTATTTGAAATCACATAGCGGTGTTTATGTTTTTGTTTTGCAGTATTCGGTCTTTTAGTTTTAGTATATGCTTTTCTTTAAATATGACATTAAACAAAATTACATTTATTTTCTTGTCGAAAGTGATACATGTATGTATACCCCCTTTGAATGAAATCACATGATTTTTTAAAAATTTTAATACTGATTCATGGAAATTATGTTTTGTTTAGCAGTATGCTGTTTTAGTACAAGTTGATGTGTTGTTTTTTTTAAATTTGACAAAATTACATTTATTTTCTTGTATAAAATGATGATACGTCTTTAACCACTTTTGTGGGTTGGGAACTGGGATGATTGAACTTTTTTTAATAAGTCAAAATTCCTTCAGTACAAATACCTCTTTAAACACTTTTGTGGGTTGGGAACCGGAATGATTGAACTTTTTTTAATAAGTCAAAATTCCTTCAGTACAAATGTACATGTGGATGTGTGTGGAGGCTAATACATCACAGTGTTTGAGTGTTTTAACTCCTGTATGATATAATTAAGAAGCCATGTTGTCGCGAGTTCAGGGGTCATTAATTTGTTGTAGATATAATAAGGATGATGAAGTAATATAATATGGTAGTTTGGTGCTGAGAGTTGAAGTGAGATATCATCTAGATAAAATATACACTTAAAACATGTACATAGCTAAATATACTGTTCTTGTATCTGATTCCATAAAATCATTCTCAATGTATTAATAACTTTAAAGTGATGTGCACAAGAGAAACTATTTTATTATGGGGTTTTCCTGTTCTAGTCCTACTCACATTCTGCAAGAAACTATTTATAATGGGGCTGTAAGTTTCCAGCCATTCTGTCAGAAACTATATTATTATGAGATTTTCCGCTTCCAGTCCTGCTCGCAAGGAGACAATCTGTCAGAAACTACATTATTATAGGGTTCTCCGTTTCCATTCCTTCTCACAAGTTACTGGAGTTGAGTTTCAGAAATATCTCTGCTGCTGTCAATTATAAAGGCGATAATGGAACCAGATTTTAGACAAAATTATAAATGATATGATAAAATCAAATATTTAACTTCCTGATATTGATTACAAGTTGCAAAATCTACATTGACGTAGCAGGGTGTGGGCGAGAAGCGAAGATGTGACAGGAGCAATTTGAACCTTTTTTTACATGTGTACGTCACAGCCTTCTTCACACACATGAATCCAAAATCTATATTAGATATCCATTTTGCTTTAAAAGTTATTTTAGAAGTGGATTGTAAACAAATACCTACATGTATATAGACATACAATATTGTTCAATTTTTAAATTCTAAAATATTAATAATTTTACAAACACAAGACATTAAAACTGTGATATTACCATGACAACAGGCAGGCTTTCTAAATCTATATAATATAGTATATTGTTTAATAAAATATAAGGCATGTTGAATCATCTGTATTGTTAGTCCCTAATACATGTACATTCATCTCAATCAACTATACATATTGGAAATGAAATTGAGTTTTAAAGTTCTACTTTTCTGCACTAACTGGGTTAGTGTACATGTACATGTAGATGGGCATATATACCATGTTTACAGTCTGTGAGGGAAATTTCACCCAGACAGTGGCTCTACATGTACATATATGTCATACTCTTTTTTATTAATTCTATCAAGGGTTGTGCACGCTAACATACTAACATGTATATATACTAGATTTTGGATTTTCAACTCAACCACTGACATGAGGAAACCATGCTCGAAAATCCTGAGGAACTTTCTCGGCCAACACTGCCATCTCCTGGATAGTGAGCCAGTGTCACAATCACTGAGCCACAGCAGCTTGTCCCCCCCCCCCCCAGTATTAGACATGTGACTTGTTGAATCCTGTAGAGTACATTTATTTTGTATAAAGAAAACAACTGGGACAAAGGGTACTGGCATTATTTTCACTACTTTATAAAAATTACAATTCATTATTGTGATAAAAACTTTCAAATAACATTCTATTCTACCCATTCACACTACTTTCTACAATGACCCATTTATCAACATACTTTATGACAATTATATTGCTATACACTGTCACAATTAGTTTTCTAATCATATCAAAGTTTCATCACTTTATTGTTTCGTGAATGTATCATAGTTTGGTTACAATCTCCATAAATTGCAACAACATTGCCATTT